TGTTTTGACCTGTGATTTCATGACATATCGCCCACATAGATTTACTTTTTTTGTCCGAATTTCTGATTATCTGATCGTATCTTTCTGATTTGGCCTTCTGCAACAAATAGTCATATTGTTTTTTTGTGTTCTTGTTTATTTCCTTATAATCACCATCATCTACTCTACATAGGGTCACCAGTCTATGTTTGCACTCTGTAATCACTTCATTACACTCATGTTTCCTCACACGACTCTTCTCACTAAATCGTTTCAAAGGAAAACACTGATTAAATATACCTATGAAATTATTCATGAATACAATCCATTGCTCATTTACATTTCCAATATCCTGCACCAGCTCAATCCAATCCTCATTTTTTATACATTCAAGAAAGTATTGTTTGTTAGCTTCTGAAAAAATTCTTTTATACGTGTAATTTGACGTTGTAACTGGGACTGCAAAGAAATTGATTTTCTGAGTAGTGTAATCGGAAATATGAGTGCAAAGAACAGATGCACTTTCAAATTCGAAATTTCTGTATACATATTATCTATGTAACTAGCAGTACTATGCGTTATTCTTGTATTTTCTTTTATTTTTGGTTCCAAATTAAATGAGCTCATAAGCGTCAATAAGTTATTTTTGTTTTCATTCTCTATTAACATTTCAGTGTTGAAGTCTCCTGATACACACACATATCTGTTTGAGACAAAAATCTCATTTAATATACATTTTAACTTATTAATAAACTTTGAAAAATTACCACTCGGAGGTCGGTACACAACTAACACCACAACCATTATATTACCCAATTTACATTCACTCACTGCACATTCAAACACACCTTCCTCTGGTACTTGACATCTGACACTTATACTTCTTTGATGCACACCTTTTCTCACATAAATAGCACTACCTCCAAAGCTGCAAAAAGCTGATGACAAACTAAAATTTTTTAGCACTAAGTACGTTAGTTGCTGACTCGTTTTCAAATGCTCTGTTTCACATACTATTTGACATTCCTGGTGGTTATTTAACATATCGTCCATAAGATCAACAGCATTTCCCAGTGATTGCACATTTTGATGTATGATGCTGACTAGCACCCGTTCATTGGTAATATAATGATTATCTATATTAGTTGTTGCAGGTTTTTTTGTTTGACTGGATAAATTTACTTGACTAATTGGATAGGACTGTAGTGGCTATTCTTCAGTTTTCCTTTTTCCAATGTTTAATATTCTTTGATAGCATAAGAAATTTGGATCTGTGACCGCGTGGTTTGTATCTAGAGATTTTTTAAACTTCCTGTTTGTTTCAATGCAATTAATACAGTTTTCTACATTAGATGTACAACTATCACTTTTGTGTTGTCCCGCGCATTTGAAACATGTTTCATTTTATTGGTACACTTAATAGCTATATGCCCATACCTGGCACCCTTGAAGCATCTCACAATTCGGTCATACTCATGCACCACATAACGCCTCCATCCAATGTTCAGCTTGTCCATGGCACAGATGTTTTCTTTGAGACTCGGACCCACTTGTAGAATTATATTACGTTTATTTTTTTATTTTTACTTCAGTTTTGCCATCACAGTAAAAAGTTTCCCATCAATATCTAACTGATTTTGTTGTTTTAGTGCTTCAATAATTTTATCATTTTCTTCTAGCAAAATATCTTCAACTCCCCTAACTATAATCCTTGGTTGCTTTTTTCCCTTCCTCTACACTATATTTATTTCCGAGTTCTGCTTCTACTGTTTGGATTATCTTTTCTTTTGAATTGATGTTATTACAGTTTATTATGCTCCATTTTTTCCACTTTTAACGTTTTCCACAGCGATCGCCATTGATTTAGGATTGATTTTTTCTTTGAGGTCATTTTTGGTAAGCACACTTTCTTGTTTTCCTTTAGGTTTTATTACTATTGTTTCAGTTTGTACATTTTTAACAACATTGATTGATTTGTTAACTCAGAGATTTCGTTCATCATTCTGTTGATCAAAATTAGCTGGTCATTAATTTTCCCATCCTGGTAATCAATGACGTGGCGTAAATATTTTATTTCCTGAAGTAAAGTAGTCTCCAACTGCTTGATGGAATTGCTGATTGATGTAGTTGCTGGTTCCCATTTGCATCCTTTGCATATCAAGCAAAACACTTTCTTTTCTTGCATAGGTCACATGGAAAGGCATCTTTATCTTGGTCAACATCTTTCACACAACCAGTATACTTCATCCCGAAACCGGATTAATTAGTGAAAGTTTTGCACTCAAAACTGGAACACCTGTACAATTATGTTTGAAATATTCCTCACATGATAAGACACATTTTGATATAACATCCGTAAAAAGCGGCGAACTACAGGAACACGATAATTCCGATATTTTAAGAGCTGTTCAGAACACGTGTTGTTTTAACGTTTATTAAGTATAAACTGTTTATATGGGAGTGTATTCAGCTGCGGGATCGCCCAACACATTATTTTTTTCTTACTTGTCAGTAAAATTTCGTGGCAATGTTATCGTTTCATTCTTGATGTAAGACTAGATCATTGTCAAAAAATCAAGTTGGAATTATTTTTTCTGGGCGTAACACTTCTAATGTCACTGAGTATATATCGACTACTCCTGTAGAGCTTTTTGTTAGTGAAATTCCGAACTAATTTCGCCCTACTATATCCTATGATCTGCTCGGCGGGCGAGGTTGGATTTCTCCGTTCGAAGTCCGCCAAGTTGCGTGGTGAATTACACCAGGTTGTATTCATCAATTTGGAGTAACTCAGGTTGAAAATAAACGCAACAAGTATAATTTTCCTTTAACCTTTCATAACTTCTTTCATTCCCTCACGAAGTTTTTCACCAAACTGGACAGGAATCAATTGCCTTTCTGTGTTTGGTTCACATTTTTTATATCGTCATTTATACCGTGCATCTACAGTGGCGACGAAAGTGAAAACTTTTGACTTAATTTAACATGCCATATAATAATTGCACGCTCTACCCTTTTGAAATACAGTTTCAGGGCAATAACCATATCTCCCTTATCATCCAATTTTGTGTTTCTGAAAATTCCAGCGCGGATTGTTCTTTTGGAACTTTGCATGCGGGCATATAGAATGTCAATACCAAGCTGTGGAGAGCTGGAAAGACTGGTATCAATACAATTGTTCCTCTTTAACATAAGACGCGCAGATTATTACTGATGTATTTATTAGCGCAACAATGTTAAGGATTTAAAGCCTTAGTACTATATTTTAGCCAACAAAAGGTGTCGTCGAAAGTATCTGTTAGGTTTCCGCTCTGACTATACAGTCCATACTCAATGCTGGACAGCCCTCGGCTGAATACCGTTGTGTGTGGACTGTGTAGTCAGAGCGGAAACATCTCAGATTCTACACCGTGACTTGTATAGAATGGGAAAGATATTTCAACATAAAACGTAATGTACGGATATCAGGTTTTTCCCTGCTGCTGTCTCGAGTACAGTACCTTAGAAGCACTGTTGCGTTAACAAGCATATCAGTGATAACCTTCGCGTTTTATGCCAAAAACAATGTCAGTTTTGCATCGCTAACAGATTTCAGCTCAGTTTGACATTTTAAACGCCCACATGCAAAGCGCTGTCGTCGGTGAGAATGTGAATCAGAACAGAACCAGTATTGGTGTCGAACCTCGGCGAACACTCGTGTTGCCACTATGGGTTGCAAAGCACCTCAGAAAGTTGTTAGGACAGCGGTATATCGTATTGTCCTCTTCTGGTTGCGTTTATCCAAACAGTGCTTATCCATCACCTTCAGTATGCAACTTGAAAATAAACCACTCTTTTTAATGCAAAATATGCCCAATATTCGACCCGAGAACGACTAGAAGGCGCCTATCTAAATAGTATAATACTGATTAAAATCTGTGAATTTTTGTATTACATTCATTCTGCTCCGAAAGAACATTACTCTCTCGAATTTTCATGAACCAAAATAAGAGGAGGATGCAGATATGGTTATTGCCCTGACACTGTATTTTGAAAGGATAGAGCGTGAAATTATTATACAGCGTGTTCTTCAGTTAAGTCAAAAGTTTTCATTTCCTTCGCCAGTGTAGATATACGGAAGGAAAGTGAAAAATGTGAACCTACCACAGACAGGAAAATTCCGTATAAATTGATGAAAAATTGGTGGTAAAATTTGCATTTGCATCTAAAGCTCCAACCACTGTATACAGGGTGTTTCAGTTTATTGTTGCATAACTTTAAGATTCGATAGAACTTTTTATTATTAATGCATAAAGACTATATAAACATGGGTCGAAAAATGCGTGGCTTCCGAAATACAGGGTGTTTAAATTTACTTTCTAAAATAGTTTTTTTTAAATATTTTTGGTCATTTTAATACACTACAGGTACAGTAGAGAGCGCCCTCTAGCGGCTACAGTAAAACTATGCACATGGTTCGTTTTGTCGTACCAAAAAACCCTTGTATACCAATTTTCACTGTTATACATCAAATATTGTTCGAAATATTTAAAAAAAACTATTTTAGAAAGTAAATTTAAAGGAAGCCACGCATTTTTCGACCCATGTTTATATAGACTTTATGCGTTAATTTTAAAAGTTCTATCGAATCTTAAAGTTATGCAACAATAAACTGAAACACCCTGTATATTGAAGTAAATAAAAAACCAGATTATAGAGAAAATGTGGCTCTTAATAATGGAAAGCATTGCAGTCTGATTGGAAACTGGAGTCATACAACAGACTGTCTCAAAGTTGATTTAATGAACTATCATTTTGATTTACCCTGTACAACAAGTCAAACCGTAACTACTATCAAGAACTCATATTTACACAATAAAGCCAATGGGTGTACCTACAGCCTCCCGAGTCAATGTAATCTAGAAAAAAAAATAAAAAAGTTATGACGTTACAAATTTGACCAACATTTTGCTTATTGCATTTATTTTGAATCTTAGTGTATATTGAACAGGAGTGACCATGTCTCCGAGCGTATTAAATAATTTAATCTGATGAAATTAACTTCGCAGGTTTATTAATCAATGAAATCGAACAATGGTAGTCAATATCGTCGGGCGGATTAAAGAATATAGTCTGGTGAAATTAACTTCGCAAGTCTGTGGATCTGTTCACTCAAAATAAATATTATAATATATATTATTCTTTATTGTCCAGCTTGAGCAATTTTGCAAATTCTTCAACATCTTGCTTTCGTTCGAATTGTTCCATCTCTAGCCTTGTCTTTAATGCCTTTATATTTTCCTCAGCCAGTTCAAGTTGATACTTCAAATTCTGATCCAGAGGTCTGGTATATGAATGTAAGCTGTATGAACTACTCCTGGAACAAAAGATATTAGAAATGATAGTGAGGAAAATACTGTATATTTTCTTAGTATTCAGCAAATCTAAACTCCTCTTATGCGTTCAAAATGAAAATAGAAGTCACTGTCAGAGGCGTGATAATACCTTGATTCTAACGTTGCAAGAGTTTCTGTTTTTAACAATCTCTGCTTTTCCAATCGAAGTAAAGCTTGCGTCTTGGCATGTGCTTCTCTCTCAGCATGCAATCGTTCATTTTGCTTTCCCAATAGTTCTAAGAGTTGATGTTTTTCTTTTTTCAATAGATCTAATACTTTATTCGTTACCTATATAGAGGATTTACAGTATGTTATCTCTGATATTATACACAATCCACCACGATGAGAATTGTAAATTTCAACACTGATTGAGTACTGCCTACTTATTACCCGCAAAATTCTACGTGTTAAACGACACTGTATACAGGGTGTCCAAACTTGAGGAGAAGGTAGGCTTTGGACTCCCAAATAACAAAAAACTTACCTATATAAAAGTGTCACCGTTTTTGAGATATTGAATCTTTTCTTGAATTTTTAAAAAACTAACGTTTTCATCTGTGGTCTTTAGCTGCATGTACAAATAAGGTTATACTTTGTTCATTTTTTCTATAAAATACTTCTAGATAGTTGCTTTATCATATACAAATACATACAAAAAATATCTCAAAAACGGTGACACTTTTATATAGGTAAGTTTTTGTTATTTGCGAGGTCAGTCCAAAGCCTACCTTCTCAAGTTTTCGTGGTACTTATTTGACACCCTGTATATCAACGACATTTTGACAGCTTAGTAAGCAGTTGGGACCTCGTATGGTGGTGCCCATGGCAGACAATTTGTTCATTTAGGTCAACCAATTCGAATAGATTAGGAGCCAAGCCTGTGTGTTTCCACTGTATTGTTTGTCGCCAAAATTGCGTAGTTTTAGTGCATACTTTTGACTCAATTGACAGTTCCTACGAAAGTGACAGCGTATCAACACAATAATAATACTTACTAGTGGAAACATGTACTGTCATTAGGCTTGTGCTGCTCTTTGCAAATTATGTAAGAAGTACCATGTCTTGAAATCGTATAACACCAAAATTATCTGCAAACACTCGCACTTTTAAAACATAACTAAAAATATGAATTTAATGACAGAGCTGCCAAAAAAATAAGTTATTTCAAGTGAATTTGGCAAACAAATTCTTAATTGACTCCTGCTTATTCAACCTAGTGTGAATTCGTCGATTTAGATCGCCAGGGGACGGACTATTCCCAACACTTATTTTTTACACCCTCTATCATAATGGCTCAACGATAACATTATTGAAAAGCCCCTTCATTCAACTGAAAAGTTACTGATGAAAACACTCTTGATCTAGAACTTCTCTCATTATTGGCAGTGATGGATCTATACTGGTCCCGCCATTTTGCAAAGACAGTAATTCTGATCGCATATACACAAACAGCGACCAGGATATAAAATTTCAGATCACTTAAGTGATTGATCAAGATTTTTGTCAGTCTTTTGGGGACATTATTAAATCCACAGCAATGATATTAAAACAAGACACTTTTTTCTAAAAAGTGGCTTAATTTGTGATTCAATTGTTCCCCATGGATACCATTATGTGAGGCCCCAACTGGTTTCTACGCTGTAATTATTCCTTTGAATTATATGTATATGGTGTGGCTCAAAAGTTATTCAAAGCTAACTGATTTCATGGCACTTTAACTGTTGAATTATACAGTGTGGTTCCAATATTTCTCGAGGGAAATCGATTTTATTGCCCTTTAACTGTTTTCAACTTATTACCTGATCATCTCCTGTTGCTGCATTATTGATTTCCTTAGTATCTTCTATATCATGCTTTTCACCATCTAATTCCTTCTTGAGACTGCTTATGATGGATTTGTATTGCTCTATTTCTTTTAACAGCTGCTCTTTTTCATTCTGTAGTTTATTAATAGTACGGTCTTTATGGTTTACTACTGTTTCGCTGCTATTCCTTGAATTTGATATTTGTGCCTGAATTGAAAATACAGTTTTGTATAAAACAACCTTGTCGTTTGGAGTATTACGAAAAAAGTTTCTAATGGACAAGTTATACGGATATTGAACGAAGAACCTGACGTTATGATCTTTTATGTTTTACGGAAGACGCGTTGTTAGGGGAATTGCTAAGGACACGAAGTTTGTATCATGAATACGATGTCGGCGTGACTTGACATCATACATGTATATGACTCATAATTCAGGTAGCATCGTCACATGTGATGGGGAAAATATTCTGATTAAGATTTTTGCAACAACCTTATTCAAAAAGGGTCTCTCTTAATGAACCTACATGTTGCTAAAGTCGAAATCACGACTACGTCATCATTTTAGTCTGTAGTAAAGACAAACGACAGCGATTTGTGAATATTTTTGATGAAGTTTCAGATATGTTAGACAGAGACAAACATTATTTTATTGTCTAAACAAACTGTATTGCTAATTTGCATGTATCCGACAAAGATAGACGATGTTCTCATGTTGCATGATCGATCATATTTGAAAGATGAATAGTTAGGTTATGTTAAAGCAGGCTAGGTTGTTTTGGAATAATACTTTGGTCTTTGGTGTTCCTGTCTCAAGGTATTCTACTCATAACTGTTTTTTCAAAACAAAAACTCTCCACTAAAATTATTATTATGGTATCACTCAAAACCATGAAATAAAATGAAAATAAAAATAATCAGTGAAATAACCTAACTTTGCAAAATCATAACATAAATTTGTTGTCATTATGTTCCTGATATTGTGCTTTTATCATCGACGTACGTCCATTGATTACTTCAGTACAATTTATGGTATGACGTAATAGCCATCTTTCGTGACTTTGACTATAGGCTCAAATTTGCGTCAATTTTCAAGCAAATTTGAAAAATTATTTTTTTGCTCCGATCAAAGTTTTTTATGGTTTTTATTAAATTCTTAACAAAAAAGGTTCTTTGTAACAAACGATTTTTGAATTTTAATAAAAAAATGTTTAAACAAAAGGGATCGTTTTTGAATAAGATTATGCAAAATATACGAATCAGTATATTTCTCGCATCAGATGTGAAGATACTGTATTCCCATTAATCGCTCTTTTATGACGCTTCAAGAATGTATGTTTGAGACTAATTGTTCGGATCAACGTATAATGTCTTGCCGATTATTCAATCACACCATGCTGCACCACTTGGGTGGTTCTACACGAGAAGATGCACATAAGAAAGGAACGTGTTGTTACTATATTCGACCTTTCCAAGGCCTTTAACTCAGTTGACAAATATTTACTAAAAATTAAATTTGGGGTAGGTCAAAATACATATAGTAAAGAGTTTTTTTTATCGCAGAAAAATCTAAATGTTAGTTTCTGATAAACGGCAACGAGACAGCTGCAGACCTGCGGATCTCGTAGGCGGAGCCAGAATGTGTGCAATGTGTGCATGTTGCATGCACACGTGTTCCCTCGCCAGAGTCCGTGTGGCGTTCTCCCTTTCCCATGTATCCCCCTATAGCCCCACGGTACCCAATGGGTGCTTAGGCCTTAGGCCTTCGTGGTAGTTGGAGTATAAAAAAAGACAGATTTTATTCAACACAAAAAGTAAACTGTGACACCCATATATATTTTGAGGTGTGAAAATTACTCCTGCTAATTTTCGTAGCTTAATCCGTTGCAGTACTTATGTGACTCGGAATACCGACTTATGACTTTATTCTAAAAGTCACCATTTTATGTTATATTATATTGTAACGAAAACAGTTTTTACTATTCAAAGTCTAATTTACTACTCTTAAACTAATTCATCACGACATTTCCAACTAATTTATGACACATTTATAATCATGTCGACTGGACTATAGCTTGTGGTTTCATCGGTATCAATTGACTGTCTTTCTGCCTCCATCCCTGCCTATATTTATTCTCCTATAGACTAGTCCTGAAATATTCCAGTGTTTTCCAAGCCGAGTCGCGAACCTTCGTGGAAGTGGTCTAGATGGCAGTAGATTCATCTCGGTTGCACAATTGGTTGCCTAAACGTCGAAGCTAGGAGAGTGTCCCATTTTACTAGCTACGAGGGAGTAACAATATGTTCAAGAGAAAGAGTTAAGTGAATGCTAAGCGTGGTAATTTAATTTAACTTCTTAACCAGTGTCATGTATTTCAAGTCAATGTTTACTGCATTAGTATCCTAGTTTTGACTTGTCGCATGCACTCCCTGTGTCCTTCACGGCTAATAGATAATAATAATATTTGTTTGACTTCAAATATACACTATACTCAAAAAGATTTATATCGAGGCAAATATAGAAAATGTGGCATCCAGCTGTATTGTGTGGGATTGTAAGTCATGTTTGCCTCACCTCTAAATGAAACCACATATGTTTGATAAAATTTTTGTTGATGGCGTTTTGGTATACATATAGTCAGAATTGTCAAATTGTAGGTACTTGAAAAAGGCCACCTTTTTGGCCGAAACGTCGTAATCAGTAAACAACATTTCAAATATATATTTAATGCTTTTATTTAGCGGCCACACAAACGGCGAATTATTAGCATGAAAACCAGGACAAGTTCCGGTGTTACCTAGTGGCCACGCTTGGCCATAGTTGTTAGTATAATTTGCAATATCTGCTCGATAGAACGACAACAATACAACGCTAAAACGGCGTCCTTTGTATAACCTGTCAACAATTTAACCCATAGTTGGCTTTGGATTCATTAGCTGGTCTAAATATTGCCGAAGAAATATCAAACTTTTTGAATTCCTTGGGGAGATAATTAAGCGTTTTTTGTATTTATCATAGGTAAAATTGGACTTGCTTAGAATACTTACAGACAATGTAGAAATGATGTCTTGATCTCTATCTGTTTGTTGGTGCAACATTGAATATTTTGTTCTCAATATTGCACAATCGCTTTCCAATGATTTTATTCTAGCTTGAGAAGCCTCATATTTCCTTTTAAGACCATCACATTTCGATTTCCAGTCGGAGTTTTCTTTCGATAGCATACTAATTTTACTTTCCATTTTGGTTAAAGAAATGTTACCTTCAGTACCACCAGTACTAACTAAAAATATATACTCTATAATCGATAAATGAGCTTTTTGTTGTTATTAACATCTTGATTTCGAGGAAAGATGAGAATTTATCTAACTAATGCATAATTCTTTATTTTTCTCTTTTCCCTATCTCTCACGTTGATTTAAAAAACATTGCTGACATTTACCTACCCCGCACTACAAAAAATTGAAATCAGTAAATGTTCTAGTTCTCTATTCTCAAGATTTGGTCACGGCTGACAAAATGCCAGCTAAACGGCGTAACCTTACCAGGAACAGAGAAACAGAGAGATGGATATAGAAGTTAGTTATGTCCAACTTAGACTTACATGTCATATACAGCTCCTACAAGGGAGAAATTAAAAACATGTTTTATATATTCTTTTCAATTGCAGCTTTACACCGCGCCTGAATTGAAACACTGATTATGTCGATATTAAGTGTGTGTATGTGTTATCTGACAGATAAGCACTATTTGTTTGAAAATCAGCAAACGAAAAGGAGGTTGGTGAAAAGGCTTTTGAACGAATTTATATAAAAATGCACTTTAATTTATCTAAAAAGCAGTTATCAACCTCATCAATATCCTAAGACGCTTTAACGGAACCACCGATTCGTTGGTGGGCAGTCCCACATCATTTAGACCTTACCATGCATCTACCTTAGTCGTTACTGGAAATGACGGAATAGTGCGTATGCTCAAACACAATATAGTAATAATAACTTACAGTTTATGCGGCAAATCAAGTTTTAGTATAAATAGTTCTTTTATTAACACCGAAGCAGCCGCGCAGGTAGAAGCCTAGGGGCTAGGACATCGGGCGCTACGAGTATCCCAAAGAAACTTTGTTAATCTGACTTGTAGATTAGTAGTACTGGGAAAAGCAGAAGACTGTCCCGGGCAGCAGCATTCCAAACATATGAGCAGTACTCGAAGCTATGCCTTATCTGGGTCTTGTACAGAGTGAGGAGGTCATGCAGAGAAAAGTACTTCTTAGCTTTAAATAAATAGCTCAGCTTTTTCTTAGCAGCTGTCGCTATTGACGAGATGTGTTCGTGTCAGCTCAAATCCTCGGTGATCTTGACTCCGACCAGCCGAAACGAACGACTGTTTGGTAGAACTCGAAACCGGATGAGCGCTAGGATGCTTCTTGTTCATTAAGGTGCAGCACTGTTCTTTTTCGTTTTTTTTTATATCGAAGCAGCCGCGCTGGCAGAAGCCTAAATGCCGGAACACCGCGGCTGCTATGATGATCCCAAAGAAATTTTATTAATACGATTTTTGAACTGCCTAAGGTTAATAGAACTGGGGAAAGCTTCCTCTTGTAGATTGTTCCACAATCTCGACTCCCTCGGGACAAAGGAGCGGTTGTATCGGCCGGTCCTGGATGTTCGACACGGTTAGGATGGGACGCCAAAGTCAGACGGGTCTGTCTGGCAGGCACATCGCGCGGCGGCATCATGGAAGAGAGCTCTGAGGAGCAAAGCCCGTTGGTGTAATGGTAGAAAAGAGCTACATCGCCGACAGCACGCCGGTGCGAAAGAGTCCCGAGAGTGTCTGTTAGAGAAGAGTCATCGATCAGTCGGACCGCCCTCCTCTGGACAGCATAAGCATGGATAATGTAGTCGGGGCGGCAGCACCCCAAATGTGTGAGCAATACTCGAGGCTAGGCCTTATCTGGGTCTTGTATAGAGTGAAAAGGTCATGCGGAGAAAAGTACTTCTTAGCCCTAAACAAATAGCCTAGCTTTTTCCCAGCGGCTGCAGCTATTGACGAGATGTGTTCGTGCCAGATCAGGTCCTCGGTGATCTGGACTCCGACCAGCCGAAATGAATGGCTCTTTGGCAGAACTCGGTCATCCATCGAAACCGGGTGAGCGCAGGGACGCTTTTTGTTCGTCAAAGTACAGTACTGTGTTTTGGAAGCATTGAACTGTACAAGATTGTGGCATCCCCAAGCAGTGATAGCCTCCAGGTCTCTTGTCAGAGGGGAAGTCATCGCTAGTCTTCTTTTTTCCAACTCAGCGGCAGAGATCGGCTTGTCACTCTGAATTCCTGCATGTAGAGTGCTGTCATCAGCGAAGCTGTGAATTGCGTTGATCGTGCAGGAAAGGAGGTCGTTGATATGTAAGAGAAACGGTGTCGGAGCCAAGATCGGTCCCTGGGGAACACCCGCGTTGACGTTGTGGGATTAAGAGGAGATCCCGTCAATTACGACGGATATCTTGCGACCAGAGATAAAGTCAGCCACCCATCTGCAAAGCTTTTCTGGGAGACCATAGGATGGAAGTTTGCTTAAGAGGGCAGCGTGCCACAGCTGATCGAACGCTTTCGTGATGTCAAGAGCAACGACATGAGCCTCACCATAAGACTGGGTGAGTTTACTCCACAATTGAGTGACGTAAGCTAGGAGGTCCTCTGTGGATCGTTGGTGCCGGAAACCATACTGCCTGTCGCTAATCAAGCTGAGCTATAGGCCTGTAGTTGTAAGGGTCGGTCTTCGATTCCTTTTTTTGGGATGGGTTGAACATGAGCAAATTTCTATTTTTCTGGGAAGGTGCCGGATTCATAAGATATCTGGAAGAGACGCGAAAGACCTGGAGCAAGCTCCGGTGCGGTGTTTGAATGTTACCTCCCGGATACTGTAGGGAACCCTTTGAATTGAAGGCATTTGGGCGTTGGGGGGGACGTCCATGGTGAGTTGGCAGCAAAGACCTTGGCTAGCACTTTCGCCTTGGCCTTCGAGTTGAATACAATAGTTCCATCCTGACGCGTAAGTGCTGGAAGGCTACTGTGTGAGAAGTTTTTTTCAATCTGCTTGGCCAGCGTCCAAGACCGACTGCCATTGCGCTGCGACATTGTCTGTTCTCTACAGTGGGGTTTTGTAAGAAGGTTCTGAGTGCCTTGATCTTCTGCTGGCGAACAGCGTCACACGATTTGTTAAACCAGCCGTTGGACCCTGGTCTAGGCACTTTCACTGTGTGAGTGATGTATTCCTCCATTCCGACGTGGATAATTTCGGTTATCGAAGAACAGACAGCCGACGCATCCGCGTCAGTGAAACAGACATCATTCCAAGGAAAGTTAAAGAAGAAGTCTCTGAGCCCCTCCCAGTCGGCATGTCCGTAATGCCAAGTTTTGCGGCCTGTACGAGTTTCTGCTGCCACAGCAGGTTCTGACCGAAACCTAACCTCCACAACACCGTGGTCTGAGTTACCCAGGGGGGACAGGACAGTAGTGTTGTAAGGGACAGGATGCGTGGTCAGAAAGAGATCCAGCAGGCTACTGGTGCGGGGAAAAAAGTAGGGCTCGTCACCAGCTGAGTCAGCCGTTGGGTAAGAGCGGTCTTGTTTGAGCCCAAACAAAGCTCATCATGGGCATTGAAATCACCGAGAAGAACTACCTCTGAAGCGGGGTGATTGATGTTCAGGAAGTCGATCTGGACGGCGAGGTATTCGAGTAGGTCATCCCAGTTATGGTCCGAGGGAGAGCGATAAAGGCAGCAAATAAATTTGGGTGATGTTTTGGAGTTGAGGCGAAGCCACAGAATGTCCTTCCGGTCTGATTCCAAAGAAACATCTCTGGAGCAGGAAAGACTGCTGCGGACAAAAGCAACAACTCCTCCGTTCTTTCTCAGATTGGAGTGCACCTCGTAGTTTGGAAAGTTAAGATGGTTAATCGGTGCAGATTCTGAGATTTTTGTCTCCGCCAAGAAAAGCACGGTGGGACGATTGGATTGCAGGTAGTGATGAACAGCATCAATGTTGCTGTTAATCCCGCAGATGTTCGAAAAACAAATTTTATCTTCGATGTTGTTCCCTCGAGCCCACCCTCCACCCGGACATTCCGAGAGTGAAGTGAGTTTACGTCCGGAGTTCTTAATGCTCGAGGGATCCATCATCATTAATTTCTTTGTTTTGGAAGATAACCGACTGCATAGCTTAGGTGTGGAAACATGTGGACATTTATAAGTCACCCTGGGAAAAGCTAGCGAGTGGTACTGCCTCGGTCGACTGGTCCTTGTCTACCACCTTCTTTTTACGTGTTAGTGATGTTAAATAGACCTAAAGTGGCCCGTTGGCGGACTTCCACCGCCACCTGGCAATCGGTACTGAGGTATTCCTTAACGCGTGTACAATCACTTGAACGGGAAGGAGTTGTATACTGGATACAACAACTTCCGGAACAGGCATTTGCCACGACCCCGCTCAGTATGGGACAAAGATTTAGATAAAGATTAAGATAAATACCTAACTACGGTACATTTTCAAGGTAAATTACAAAACGATTTAACTGCCGTATTATTTTTAGCTGCTGATAAATATTTTACCGAATTCAATCTACTCTTGGCCCAGAGAGAGAGAGTGCAAGCGGGGAAACGATGAGGGGTGGCGCAGAAAGCGGTAGGTGTATCGGTACCGTGTAAAAAACTCTCCAGCCATCTCCTAAATTGATGAAAGTTTCCTCCTGAAATCTATTTAACACCAAAAATATTGAATACAATATTTGTAGATAGCAATGGAATCGTTAGCCATATGATGTTTGTTATACTCCATATTTTAAATTAGTTTTAAATGTAAACTACGAAAATTATTAGTTGAAAAATGTTTCTACTCTTTGTCTGAATACCTCGCACTGTGATATATTTTTTTAAAACTTTTTTTATATGTGAATGTCTGTACGCCTTAATTTTTAATTATGTGTACTATGTATATCCCTCTTAGGACGAGTCTTATGTCATTTTTTATGATCTACAAGACAATAAATGTATCTATCTATCTATTAGCTTTGTCGGTTGCACTTTAGCATAAAAAGTGTTCCAAAGTGTTATGGCCAGTCCCACCAGCAACCTCAGATTGGCTCTATCCAGAGATAAGCAGAAACGTCCATCCTTAACACTGGGCCCTTCAATAAATTCTCGTGCCTGGCGGAGATGCCTGGAGATTCTTCTCCATTTCTGACAGTCTGTCTTGCAATCCACGTCTTCATTTTCCTCCTGACACTATGCGCGGGCACTCCTAAAGCTGGCTCAGGACCAACTTAGTGCCTTCATTGCAGCCTGTCGGAGAAGATTGTTATTGATCTCCTAGGCCCAACCTCCTCTAGAATGCGAGATACACAAGCCACAATCGCAAAGATTTCCACCTGGAAAATAGTGGTGTATCTACCGAGAGACAGATATAGCCTAGTTCTAGGCCCAGAGACCCCAGCGCCTGAGCCCTCTTCTGTGACCGAGCCGTCCGTGCACCAGACCTGCCCGCTCACTCCGGAGAGTCTTCGGCTACCGGCGGCCCACGCCTCCCTCGTTGGGTACTCCACATTAAACATGCGGTTGAAGCGATATTTAGGGGTTATAAGATCACCCCTGCTTAGAAGGATGGAGTCCTCTCTTTGGAATTCGACTAAGATGTCAGTATGCCCCTTGACAGGATTCAGGAAGGCCCAGCTGTCCTGACTCCACAGTCGATGAGCGATTACTCTCGCTTCCCCGCGGATCACTAGATCCAACGGTGGGAGATTCAACACAGCTTCCATTGCACTCAATGGCGTGGTTCGCACTGCGCTTGCAATGGTAATACAGGCCAAACGCTGAATTTTATTGAGTTTGGCCTTAGTTGTCTTAGTTCTAATGCAAGGACACCAGACCAGGGAGCCGTACAAGACGTACTATCGTCGTGTAGAGCCAGTATACAACTTTGGGTTTAAGCCTCCACCTCTCACCGACAACACGTCTACAGGCCCACATTGAATTCCGAGCCTTGTTAACCTTGTATTCAACATGCTCTCTCCAGTTCAGTTTGCAGTCCAGGATGATTCCCAGATATTTTATTGATTGGTATAAGACTAATCTAGTCCCAAAGAAGGTCGGCAAGACAAGCCCGTCAAGCCTTATTCTCCTAGTGAATAGGATCAGCTCGGTCTTTCTAGCATTGACAGAAAGATAGACTTCCTAGTAACTCACTAATAAATTGCCAAGTTCCACTCACTCACAGCCCTTCGATCAGCATGAACCATTCAGGTACCGTTTATCCTACAAAATGGTCACACACCACACGAGACAGCTTGAAACTTTAGCATGTCAATGATTAAAGTAAAAACATTATGAATTCATACTATGAGTAATGTCGCGGAGGTAATGCTGTTCGTACGTTCTATATTTTCAAAGAGTATACTCCAACGTATAGCCCAAGAACTATTAATTCATGTACGATTCTGACAACATCGCTATTTCCCGCACACATTCCTTTTCCTTGCATTGTTTCGCTGGACCTATAATACTTACACTTTTCTTGCGTGTTTTTCAACTTCTCTTTCAAATCACTATTCTTCTGCTGTAAGTCATGAATAACTTGAGCTCTGCCTCTCCAATTACCAGCATTTGACGTAAAAATATGTAGAGATTCAAAAGTATCTCCTATCTCTTGTTGCAAATACTTAGTTGCCAGCTTCAAATCATTTTTTAGTTGCAAATTCATATTATTCGCTTCGGATAGTTTGCTTTGAGTGGCGTTAAGTTTCTCTTGCAATTTTTTTATTTGTTCTTCCAGTTCATGTGTAGCAACCTGCTCTAGCACAGGTTGAACTTGAAACAAATTTTGAGCTCGTAGACTACTTACGAAAAAACTCAGTGCTTCGTTAAAAACATGAATCCAAATATTGTACATGGTCTGTAAATTAAGTAATGAGACTGGCTACGCAGCGCCCGCTCTGACAACACTGGAGGCACCGGACTTGACGGGGACACAGAGGAAAATATATTCCGCCTTCGGTCTTCAGTACAAGTTGGAACTCGCTCAATTCATTTGGTTGTCCGTGTTTTTTTGTGAAACCGTTTTTCCTATTGTGTACTAAAATGAGTGACATCCACTTCAAGCAACGGTGTGCTATCAAGTTTTGTTTCAGACTTGGGCACAGTGTAACTGAAACTGTTGCTGAACTTCAGCAGACCTACGGAGATAGTGTTTTGTCAAGAACCAAGGTTTTTCGGTGGTTTAAGACATTTTCAGAAACGGGAGTGTCCACTGAAGATGAACCACGAAGCAGAAGGCCATCTTCAAGAACCGGTGAAAATATATCCAGGATCTGTGCATTCAGATCGTCGGTTGACAGTCAGAATGATCGGGTAAGACTTAAATTTGACTCACAGAAATGTCAATGTCAATATATAAAAATAAAGTTTTTGGCATGTAAAGACGTTTCTGTGGCTCCTCAGCCTCCTTATTCGCCCGACTTGGGACCTTATCACTTTTTTCTCTTCCCGAAGTTGAAAATATTCGAAGACATTCAAAGGGCTGTAACCTACCAGCTGAAGGCTATTCTAGTATTGGATTTCCGGCAGTGCTCTGAGGAGTGGAGGAACCGTCTCCAGCGCTGTGTGACTTCAGAACGAAGTTATTTTGAGGGTAACAATATAAAATTATAATTATATTTGAATTAACAAAAATTAAAAAATCAGTCTCATCACTTACTTTACGGACCTCGGAGGTTTTTGACTATGTTTCTACGATAGACTTTCATATATAATGGTATACCTTCAGGAATATCATCTTGATTTTGAAGCTTGAATAACTCGTACTCTAATTTAGAATATTCGGTCTTTAGAGATTCAAACTCGCAGGACTTTTCCCTCAGTTTTTTACTGAGCTCTACTATTTTTATACTTGTAACTTGGCTGGTCGGTACAAACTTCTCTACCTCAGTACACCTTTTCAATTTCTTTTCCATTTCACGCAGCAGTGATTTACAATCATTGTATTCCAATTCCAAATTTTCTAGATTTTTCTTGAGCATACTATTCTCTTGCACGTAATACTTTATATTAGGGAAAATTGCAGCAAAGTTGTATCTAACAATTATACTTACTCGTATCTGATCTCTTAAATATCTATTCAGTTCATCTGGGAATATGATATCCTCTGGTATGTTAGGAAAGTATGCATCTGATAGATCATTTTGAGCACATTTGAGAGTGTCTGACTCCATTTTAGTATTTGATTAAATACGTCACTATGAGTAAAGGCAATGAAATTTCAAATCTACAACTGTCTATCACCTGTTTGTCAACAAGCAGTTGTTACAGTATGATATACGAGGTCTGTAAATTAAGTGATGAGACTGATCTTATTCAAATATAGTTACAATTTTATATTGTCACCTTCAAGAAGCCACACAGCGCTGGAGACAGTTCTTCCATCCCTCATAGCAGTGGTGGAACTACGATATTGAAACAGCCTGCAGCTGCTCAATTACAGCGGTTTGATTTTTCAACTTCAGTAAGCTACAAGGACTCAAGTCATTCGAATAAGGAGACTAAGGAGCCATAGGAATGTTTTTATTGAAAAAAACTTGTTCTAGATCTGATGAACGGTGGTGTCAGTCAAATTTAACTCGTCCCCGATCATTTTGACTGTCAACCGACGATCTGAACGCACAGGATCCCGTTTTCTGTAGATATTTTCATCGGTTCTTGGAGACCAAGGCCTTCCGCTACAGAGTATTCTTTAGCAGATGCGAGGCCTGGAGCAAAACATTCTTGCGCGGCCTTTTCTTGAAGAAAGTGGTCTCCTCCGATTTTTTTTTAAATCATTGCGCAAAAAAGTGTTTTGATGAAGTCATTTCATCTCAAAACACGCCAACTATTTACGTAGTTTTTTCCATTTGCCAGGGTTGAGTGTATTTTTATTTTTGATGTAAGTATACAATATTTCACTATGTGTAAGGAATTTAGATAAGAAAGAAATATATGATTTATGACTTTAATTTTTTAAGCAATGAATCATTAGGAAAACTATAATAAAATTAAGGTTTGATAGGAAATAAAATAAATTCGTATAAGAAATCTTTTTTTTGTAATTAAAATCAATCATAGATAAGCATATATTATTACAAAATATTCATATTATTTGCACATACTATTGTTTGGTATTCTTAAGTGGAAATCTTAAATATTGTTTAAGCTTTTGCTCGGCAGGTGCTGACATAGGCTCATCTTCTCCCTTGAACTCAAACATTCTTCTTTTCTTCATGTGTCTGCCTTCTTTTGACTTTGGCTCTACACCTAGAGTTTCACTAAGTTCTCTTGCTACCAATGTGGCCGCCACATAACCTTCAACTCTAAATTTCTGAAAAAAAAATAAACTAGTCCTTGAAGTAACTGCGACGCAACTCCAATGTTGCGCGCCGCCAAGCATGAGTCACCCACCGGTATGCGCGGGGTTCGGGGAGCTCTCACTCCGGACCCCGCCGCGCCGTCACCATCAAATAATGTTTTTGCATTCTTTTGATCACAATTATCTCGTTCGTACGTTTTGTAATTGACCAATAATTTAACATATTGCGATAGTAATCAGACAGGTACTTTAGGCCCGTATCGTCAGTCGTCCCTACAATTGTAGGGCGCCTTTATGGCCTCCTTGATTGTCATAGTTTTCTACTTCTCCGTGTCAGCCCTCTATTTTGAGGTTATGTCACAAACATCTATTTGCATCAAATTGTGCTTGCTTTTCAGTTATATCATGTTTTATCAGCCTGAAATTTCCTACAATTTAAAAAAAAAACATATCTTCACAATAGGAGAGCGCTGACGCTGACACGGGAAAAATGTAATCTAGAAATTTTTGAAGGAGAGAAAGAAGTATGACAATCAAGGCGGCCATAAACGCGCCCTACAATTGTAGGGACGACTGACGATACGGGCCTTAGGCACATATATTTGTACATTATTACGTTATTTTCATTCAACCAAAACTTTTTACTTATTGTTAGCGGCCGCTCCACTCGACCCTAAACACGGTTTTGTTCCGTTACGTGGTTCATCTTCAGTCGCCTTTGTCCCTTCTGAAAATACCTTGAATCACCGAAAAACCTGGACTCTTGGCAAAACACTATCTCCATAGGCCGGCTGAAGTTTAGCAAGAGTTTCCGTTGCACTGTGCAAAAGTCTGAAGCAAAACCTGAGATCACACCTTTGCTCGAAATTTATGCCATTCATTTTTAGAACAGAGTAGGAAAAACTGTTTCACAAAAAAAATCGTAACGGACAACCAAATGACTTGAGCGAATTGAAACTTGTACTGAAGGCGGACCACATGTTTCCTTGTCTTTCCTCCAAGCTCGGAACCTCAAGTATTGCCAGATTGAACGCTACGTTGCCTGTCTCATCTCTCAGACCTCGTATAACTAGAGAAACCTAAGTATCCGAAAAATGAAACTACGTATAAAGAAATACCCAGATAGTTAGCAAATAGCAAATCGTGGAAGACGTTAATACAATAATGAGAATCGAAAATTTAATACTGACGTGAGAAAATTGAAACACTATCACTTTAACGCTAAAATCACGGAGAACATCAGGGCGCACTTTGTGATTATGTACTGCCGTTAAATGCGTGACGTGACAGCATGTTATCAAGGCGATAGGTATGAATACGACGCGTGGTTTGGGTAACGAATTGACGATTGCTCCTCTATGTCATAAACGATCGTTGGGAAAACCGCGAATTGTGTGCAAAGGTTCTACTACAGCTCTATGGTACTCACGGTACCCAGCTTTCGTGGTGGCTTTAAGACAATTACAACTTCTTTGCTATGCAAAAGTATATCCATTTGGGTACTAAATAAGACACGAAGAAGATATTTACAAATATATTATTTTCGTAAAAATATCAATAGACTTAAACATTAGAATAATACAACACAGTATATATATATATATATATATGCTCATATAAATAATTTACAAAACGTACTCAACTTGGACACATATTTACCAACAAAGAAATGGACAATTGTTTCTTACTCTTACAGATACCTGGGATCACGATTTGTTAGAACATTGGGATAAGCAACATTGTAATGCACCGAGTTTGTTTACTTATTGAACAATGGAACAGTACACTCGAAGACACACATATGAAGTAGCGACCTACGATTATTATTACATCCTTGCTTTGAGACAAAAAAAAATATATCAGCTAATACTTTACTCTTCAAAAATACTTGCCATTTCTATGTACGAAGCAACTTCTTATTATTATCTTATTCTTATGTTATATGAGTATTCCAATTACAAATTATCTCATATCAGCATCCAAAAAATCGGAGAAGGTCTTCAACAGTTAAAGGTACTAAGCAATGTACTTGAATTTTTGCTACACTTTCGCGTCAATGCGGCAAAAAAAAATCTTAAAAAGAGATTATTACTCCTCTTTTGCGACTGTGCAAACTCATACAGTTGACTTATTGGATGATTGTTCCAATTTAAATAATGCAATTATTTATGTAATATCAATAACACTAAAAATTGCATGAAACAGTCGCTTATTCAAGTTCAGTAAGTAAGGAATATTGAAACATTATCGTCACCTTTCCGTCAAAGGTAGATAGCTACCAACATATACAGTACACTCACATATTCGATACATGGCTGTATAGGGGTCGCATGTTTTTGTGCAAATGCCTGATATTCCAATTTGATTACAATTTTGTTCCTTTGATTAAAAATTGTATCACTGACCATTTCCATACAGAATGTTGATTTGAATACTTTAAATAATATCATACTTCACCTGGGTAGTATGCATCTAAAAACGAATTATTAAGTACACAGAATAGAACTGATGTCATTCAAAGAATATGCTCATAAATAATGCTAGACGGCTAGGCTGAGCTTATTTGTGCGATCATGACTTGTTTATTTCGTAAGTAAACAAAAGGGGGTTCAGAAGATGAACAACTATTGTTGCAAAGTATCTCGTCGCAAAGCCATAAGTACATTGACCAAAAGAAGTATTCCATCAAAGATAATGAGGTAAACGAGGCGCACGCTGTATATTTTACGATTCGCATTAACTATACTAGTTAAAACTGGTAACAGTGCACTATTAGAAAGAGCAGTCCTTCATTAGTAAGTCGCCGCATTCAGTGCACTTACAAGCGTCTTACAGTGCACGTGGTGTAAACAAATTCAAGGCGAAACAAGGAGTTGTCCCGAGAGAGTTAACGCGCAATGGTTTACTATGACTTTAAAGTCGATTTAACTGAACATCAATGTATCGAACGGTTGCAACAGGCATTTGGTAATGCAGCTCCTACCCGGGCAAGTGTGTTTCGCTGGTATGCCGATTTAAAAGAGGGTGTGCTTCGTTGGCTGATGAAGAACGTAGTGGTAGGCCATGTTCTAGCGTGACTCCAGAAGACATTGCTAAAGTTCAGCGGCTAATTGAAGAAGATTCTCGCTGCACATATGCGATTATAGAGGCAACTCTTGGGGTAGCATCCGCAATAGTGCACACCGTGTTGCATGATTATCTTCATTCAAAAAAAGTTGTTGCAAAGGTGCAATCCTGCATCACGACAATGCCTCTAGCCACACTGCCCAACTAAGTGTAGACTTTTTACGCCAGCGCTACATCAAAATGCTAAAACATCCGCCTTATTCGCCACATTAGGAAATGTGTAACCTCTGGCTCTTCAACAAATTGAAAAAAAAATCTGCGTGGTCGAAAATTTTCGTAGGAAGAGGAAGTCTATCAAGCAATGAATCAGTTTGTGGAAGGTAAGGCTACAGAAGTTCATTGATGCTGGAGGAGACTACTGTGAACGTAAACAAACTAGTTTTCGGAAAATAGTTTTTAATATTCTTATCTCAAAATATATAGCGTGGCCCTCGTATTAGACTAGATTGTACCCATTAAGAGACAAGTAACGAATAACTTTTGACTTCCTCAACTTCACCCATAAAATACATTACTGATTATGTATGTGGTGGCATTGATCTCATTTAATATGGCATCAACCAGTACCTAAAATCCAGTTCAATATCTGTAGCTCTATGGGACCCCGCAGGGTATCCTCTAAAATTTGTGGTTTTCTAAGGTATTTTTGAGATTTTAAGATTTGCTATAGTTATCGCCCTCCCCTGGAAAAAAATCACAGCGGAAGTCAATGTCTAGCCATATCAAATAAATTCTTTAGTCAAATATACGTGCCTATTATACTGCTACGTATTAAAGTAGTACTTAATAACATAAATGACTCAAAATTTGTTCATCGTTTTCACAAAACACTTACTTGAGTTGTGCAATTACTACAACCCCCATACAGTCACCTGATGGAAGTATTATTCAAAAAAATGCTTGATCCCAAGTATAGTAAAGTGGAATGATTGTGAATGCATACTCTCAAAGAACATGGAACTATTTTTTCTTTTTATGCTGTTTCTGCAGTTTCTTTTCCTGTCTCTTCCTTTCTCTCTCCACTAATGACTTGTACAGTTTATAACCAAAGAACACTGCAACAAAAATTTTCTGTTAAAAATAAATTTTCATATTTGTGATATAATCAGATAAACACATAAAATTTGATGGGCAAAATGGTGAGTTTTTATTCAGGGTGTTTTCAAAGTTGACTCATTCATTTTAACTGCTTGTAGGACTCGTCAAAAGGAGTTGGTATACCAAAAATCACCTATATAAAAGTTGCATAATAAAACAAATAGTAAAAGATTAAAAAATTTAAAAAATAAGAATGTTATTACACAGATTTTTTGATATTCTCGACTACTGCTGTGTAAAATCCAAATTTGGCAAACTTGTTGTATTTTTGTATGATTTTCAGTACGAGACTACCATTTGTCTGATTATTTTGTGCGAAAAAATGGCCCATGTTTACGAAAACAATGAACTAGTGGACATAATACTAATAAATAATAATGCCAGATTTTTGGTATATTCACCTCTTTTAACGAGTTCTACATGCTGTTAAAATAACCGTCTCAACTTGTCAATCACAAAACTTGGGCTCTTGACAGAACGCATCTCCGTAGGACTGCTAAAGTTTAGCAAGAGCTCCAGATAACACACCGTTGCTCGAAATTGATGTAACTCATTTTTAGAACACAATAGAAAACACTGCTTCACAAAAAATCATTACGAGCGAGTTCAAACTTGTACTGAAGGCGGATCACATGTTCCCCTGTTGCCCCCGCAAAACCCGGCGCCTACAGTGTTGCCAGATCAAACGCTACGTTGCCAGTCTCGTCACTTAATGTACAGACCTCGTATACCTTAGTAAAAAGACCGTGTTTGAGTTACGCGCAATTTTGTGAAATATCGCGCACATGTTATAAAAAATTAAGATGGTTTTCTAAATGGTTCTATTCTCCCGTGTTTCGGGATAGTATAGTCCGCGTTAATTCACTCATTGTTGCAACTCCATCCTGAATGTCCAGCGCTACATCTGTGGATTATGGAGAGTTTTCTCGAAAAGCCGATTTTCAAAAAAATGTTTGCAACTTGGACCTTGCGAAAGAAATACTATCGAACCTATGCGTACATACTACGCACTTTTTTTCTTGAAATGACCAAATGCATCACGTCTTGAAGTTTCGCCAGGTTGTTTCACACCCTGTATTTTCAAGAATGTGATCTATTTCAAAACACTCACCAAATAATAATATCACGAACAGCGTACAAATGACAAACATACAGCTATTCACGCTATGTAAACTTCTCATGTTTTTCCACATAGATTTTGACCTTAGTAGTAGCAATTGTTTTTTGAACTTCTTCAAGAAATTTATAGTAGATATGTTGACTTTTATATCACGACAATAATGATCTGAACTGATCATTGTTGCTACCTTTGCTACTATGATGATAAATGCTATTAGACGATTTTATTTGTATCCCTTTATCTATGATAAATGCGTTAATGCGTACCAAATGGCCTGGAACCCATAGTAATTAAAGAAATGAATATGCGATATCTGATGCTGGATTTATTATGATTAAAATAATCGCTAATCCGACGCTGTTGTAATTGTTTCTAGGCATGATAGTACGGGGTACATTAGAAAAACATATTTTATTTTATTCCAATATTTTATTCGAGGGGGTACCAAAAAAAACTGGAATTATTTTTTAAAAGCTATTTATTTTCAACTTTATCACAAAATAACCTTATCTTCTTCAAAATACTACTAACAACTAATTCACTTGTCCCACCGGTGCTTCCACTGCTGGAAACATTTTGAAGTCTTCCTTAGAAATGTCTGATAGCTCCTCCCTCTTTTTTTCTTGACCTCTTCAATGTAGTCAAAGCCGCGTCCTTTCATGCCCATTTTCATCAGAGGAAATAAGGAGCCAGGTCAGGCGAATAAGGTGAGTGAGGCAGCGGAATCATCCAATTTTTAGTCAGAAACTGTGGAACAGAGATGGCAGGGTGCGCGGGTGCATTATCGTGGTGGAAGAACCAGTCTCCTAACTGCCACAAATCGGATCTTTTTTTGCCGAACACTGTTTTGCAATCGTCTTAAAACCTCCAACTAGCACAAGCTCTCGAATTTTTTCAACATTTTCGTCGATGGACGTCCAGAGCGAGGTTTGTCAACAATCGACATGTCGCCATTTTTAAATCGAGCAAACCACTGGTACACCTGAGTTTTTCCGATAGCATCATCTTTGTAAGCTATTTTCAACATTAAAACAGTTTCAGCAGCATTTTTACCAATTAGAAATCAGAATTTCACAGTTGCAGGTTGATCACTGAAGCTTGCTATCATAAAAAACGAAACATCACGAAACAGTTTTAGCAAAAATAATGACTACAGAGGAACGAAACAAGCCAGATCGACAACTCAGGTGGCACTGACCTGGTAATGAGATGCGCTGGACGCCTCTAGGGGCGGAAATGTGTACTACACAAGCTCCGCCCACTGCAATGCTATTCCGGTTATTATTGGATACCTCCTCGTATACATATAAGCTTATGTGTGCCCACGATACATGCGTTCCGGAAGTATCGATAAAAATTGATAATCGTTCTTCATTAGGAGTGGCAGAATTTATTTATGGTTCATTTCTTTACCTAATGTCCAACCAGTATTTAATATAAATCATTAAAACCTGGGCAGTTCCGAGGAAGGATATAAGGCCGAGCTGTAACATGTCAGTTTTAACATAATGCCCTTGTTACTTTGTTCACAATTTCACAGGAAAGGTACGTTCTATCGAAAGCTTTAATTTTGAACTATCCAACATGATTTGTTCGATAGGATCAATACAAATTCAATAATTTTTGATACTATAAAACGTTCTATCGCAGGGATTCTAAACATCGATCTTTTACAAAGGTCTAGAAAAAAATTACATACATTTTCGCAAACATCGCACTGCTAAACGACAATGCTTTTCAAAAAGCCTTCTATTTATTTTTTGAACGGGTCAAGCTAAAAGGCTGAAATTCGTGCTAACCAAATTGATGCATGAATACTGTTTCAGCGCGAAAGTGGTAGTTGATTCAAGATAGCGGCTGGGCACAATTTTGGAATATTTTTTTAAACGGAATGAGGGGTTGTATGATACCTTATTTTGAAGCTTCTTATGAGTACTTATTATATAACCTTAGAATATAAAACCACTATCTTACCGTTCTCCTCAAAAAAAATATATAGGGGAGAAGTGGCATGAAAGAGCCAGGTTTTGAAAGAGCCACTTGCATTATTTCGGTGGTTTAGGAACGAATTTGGTGGGTGATCTTATTTTAAGGTGGCAGCACTGATTTCCCGCCACCCAAAAACATTTGACAGTTGGCTAGTGATAACAGGCGGCGGTACATCGAGTCAAAATTTTTTGCATCCAAAAGTAAGTATTTTGCTCTATCTAAGTAGTTTTTTGGCATTTTATTGTAAACAAATATAAGTATGTGGATTGTAGATTCAGTGTGTGCATATAATTGGCATTGCAACTGCGTAAACACTAAGCGGCAAAAAGTTTTATATTGCTGTTATTTTGAAGGTTATATATTTTTTACCAATAAGTTATGAAAGAGCCGGGTGCATAAGCCTTAAAAGAGCTGGCTCTTTCATAACCGGCTCTTTTATAACCCTATATTTAAGTTTTAGTAATAAATTATTATAATAATAAATATGCATTTTTATATACTATTAAATTATTTGCTTCAGATACTGCATTATGGAGAAGACTGGCTCAAAAAAACGAAAAAGACCCGAAAAATCGGTAATTGAAGAAGCAGTCAGTGAAGTTTTGGAGAAAGGTCAGTCCATAAACAGAACTGCACTTGCCTTAAACAAATCGAGGGCTTACTTAGCTAAAATCGTTAAAAAAGTAAAGACGTCTTACGATTCATCATATGAACACTGTCCTAATATAGGGAACAGGCGTATTTTCACAACAGAACAGGAGAATATGCTTGCAGATTATTTAAAGACCGCATCTAAAATGTGCCATGGCCTAACAAGACATCAAGCAAAGAAGCCACGATTTGATTATGCCGTAGCCAATGATATCTGTCCACTCAAGTGGAAAGAAGTTGAAACTGCGACTGATGATTGGCTCAAAGGGTTTATGAGCAGACACAAAGACTTAACTGTGAGAAAACCTGAAAGCACTTCTCTATCCCGTGCAACAACTTTTAATAAAGCTAATGTAAGCACATTTTTGAGAAATTAAACACTGTTTTACAAAGATACAAATTTCCTCCTCAAAGGATTTTTAACGCCGATGAAACAGGCTGCAGCACCGTCACCAATTCTCCTAAGGTCATAGCTGAAAGGGGTTCGAAACAAATTGGGCAAGTTACCTCAGCCGAACGAGGAACATTGGTGACAACTCTGTTCTTTATTAATGCTGCTGGTGGTTTCTTGCCGTCCGTTTTTGTGTTTCCTAGAGTAAACTATAAAGATATTATGTTAAATGATGGTCCGCCAGGAGCCCTAGGATTGGCTCAAGTTTCTGGATGGATGACTGAAGACTGTATTGTGAAAGCGTTTGAACACTTTGTAATACATGTCAGGCCATCAAAAGAGAATCCAGCATTGATATTAATGGATAATCACACCTCTCATGTAAATCTCAGAGTGGTTGAATTTGCCAGACAAAACTCCATCATAATAGTTACATTCCCACCACACTGCAGTCATAAACTGCAACCACTAGATATCACAGTATATTTGTCAGCTTTCAGTCCACAGAATATAACACAAGGATTTTTGAAAACAGGAATTTATCCATTAAATTCTAATATATTTAGTGAAGAAGCATTTTTATCTTCATATGTGACTGATAGACTTGATCCGCAGTCAAACGATGGTTTGAACTTGTATAAGGAAAGTATGGAAAGAAACTTAGAAACAACACCTCCATCTTCTACAAAATTGCTTGAAGCTGGCGAAGAAAATGAGCTTCTAATAGATCAGAATATCAGACTCTCTCACCGTTCAACCTCCACCCCCACGGCTGCAAATCCGAGTCAACGAATTATATCACCGGAGATGATAAGACCATTTTCTAAAGCGGGGCCAAGACAAAACACGAAACGAAATAATAGAAAAATGTCATCTGCTATCGTAACCGACTCTCCCGAAAGGAAAAAAATAGAGGAGAAAGGGTATAGTGCAAAGAAACCAAAAGTTACTGTTAAGAAAATGACTACAAAAGAATCCATAAAAACGCTTAAAACAAAATCAGAAATAAATAAAGAAAATTCCGTTCTGCAAGGTGACTCTGATTCGTCTGACTCTATCGCATTGGCTGAATTAAAAACAAAGGGTGTTCGAAGCAAAATAAACCCAAAGACAAATAACAACAGTGATGATTGTGTAGTATGCAGCAAAACATATAAAGACAGTGATCAAGATTGGTTTCAGTGCAAAATTTGTTCTGGTTGGGCTCATGAATGCTGTGGTATTAAGGGGAACCTTAATTTCTTTTGCAAGACATGTTTCTAATTTGAAGAATACGCATTATATTCTGTTCTGATAGATTTAACGATTTTGTTTTTGATAAAAGATATTATTTGTTGTTTTATTTAATTTCAACACTGTTATTGATAAAAAATAATCCGCCTCTAATATGTTAAGTTTATATTTATTATAAAATATCATTAGTTTTTAAAAAGAATTTGTTAGAATTGTCTTTTCATTTGTTTTTTAATAGTGTATACTTATTAGTTTGTATAATTTTCACAATTTCAAGTTATAATACAAGCTGGCCCTTTCATTACTTTTAGTGGCTCTTTCAATACCGAAATGTTATGAAAGAGCCAAATGACACATTTTTAAAAAACGTATATTTCATTGGTTTTATATACCGTATTTTAGATTTTTTTGTATGAAATAATAATAAATAAATAAATAATAGTTTGACTAAAAAAATAATCATTTCATTCATTAAAAGTATATTTTTTTGGCTACGTCTATAAAACTGGCTCTTTCATGCCACTACTCCCCTATATATAACCTGTCAATTTTTACTTCCCACTAGCGAGGAAGTATATTGTAATCGCGAAAAATTTCTAAAATCATTGTTACATTACACGCACATTACGAAATACCGATGTCATTCGTTTCCGTCGGTCTGTCTGTCTGTTCGCTAATCCTTGGCTCGTCTATAATTTGCAAAGTACCGGTCAGATTTTGATGAAATTTTCTCAAAAGGTTGTAGAAGTGTATGAAAATCAGTTCGATGGCGGTGTACAAAAATGCCAAAAACGGAAAAGATGAAAAAAAGAACAAAAATTTTAGTCTCATTTTATTGCACATTCGGATAGACCCTTCCAACAGGAAGATTGATATGACATAACATACCGTTTTAATGATTAGTTGTTGATTTATAAGCGTTTCAACGTACAAAAATGCTCCAGTTTGACAACCTGCCAGTCCGACATTTTGAGAGATAGTGATTTTACATTCTACGGTTATAAAGTAGTCATTAGGAGCCCTCAATCCATCTAAAATTACAGCTCTCTAGCTTGATACATCCAGAAAATAAATACGGGTGGCTTTCTGAGAACCACTGTATAATATTTACAATCTGAAATCAGAACACAATAATTATTTCTTTATATATGTATGTGTAGGCGCAGTTAAGTTTTTGTTTTATCAATTCAATGCATACATAACTACCATTCACGATTATGTTTTGGTTATGATAAAAAGGTTTAACAAAACACTATCAAGAACTAACATTATGTATAGAGGAAAATATGTCAATCGAAAATGCATGACATGAAAAAAATCTTTCGAAAAAAGCGACAGTGATGTAACAAATCTATTAAAATCTACTTGAGTGCATGGCAAGAGTTTCAAATGTACATTAATAGTGAATTAATTCATTGACCGTCTTATTGTTCCATATTCAGATAAACAACATCAAAATTACATATACGCTAAAAATGACGATACTTTAGGAACTATTCTTTCTGTCATTAGCTGAACTAATATGATATTCAAAGTGCAATTAAATACAAGAAATTCCTGACTTTAATTCCACAAAAGTATTAATCGGTCCGTTGAACGCGCCCATTAGTACTATTGAGAATATTTCGGAATCTACCTGTTTTTATGGAATCGGCTCTAAGGTCAGATTTTACTAATCCGGTCCCAAAATTTTACCAATGTCAAGCCGTTTTTGAAGTAATTTATAGATGAATAGTGGAGGGGCGGCCCGGTGGTTCACTCTCTCTATGCAATACCTTCTATCTTCTATGTTCAGTTCGAGCCGGAGCGCTCTGGGAGTAAGTAGGAGTTTCGTGTGCTTGTTGAAAGTAACTCTTTTTTTACATGCCGTCGGCGTGGAGCTCTCTCTGATCGAAGAACAGCGCATCAAGATCAAGTTTCTTGCAAAGCTAGGCAAGAATGGTTGTGAGATTTTTGAATGTTTGGAACAAGTTTACAAAGACAATTCTCTGAGGGAACCAACCGTCAACAAGTGGTTGAAAAGATTTCGCGAAGGCCGAGAAGATGCGAAAGATGGCCAACGCTCAGCACGCCCCTCCACATGAGCTCTGATGAAAATGTGTTCTTAAAGACAGTCGATTGACAGTTAGAATGAAATTCTGACAGAAAAAACTTGAAATGAATTGTGCCCGAAGAACGTTCCAGATCAGAAAGCAAGGAGGGTTGCTTGCTGTGAGGATTGGTTGAAAGCAGAGAATCGGTTGGAATTTCTCAACCGGGTCATAACTGGAGACGAGTCTTGGTTCTACGAATTCGATGTGTAGCTAAATCTCAAAGCATGGAGTGGAACCAAGCAGGGGAACCGATAACAAAAAAGTCGAATAAATCAAGGTCCAATGTGAAAACAATATTGATTGTTTTCTTTGAATCTCGGGGCATTGTTCACCAGGAATTACTTCCTCCCGGCCAGACAGTGAACGGAAATTTCTACATTTGAAGCCTTGCGACGTCTCAGAGCTCGTGTGGCCCGAGCTCCACCGGATTTGGATCAACGATGTAGGTGGGTCCTTCATCACGACAACGCGCCTGCTCACACGTCTCGTTGTGCGTGAGTTTTTAACCCGAAGCTCAATCACCGTGACAGAACACCAGCCTTATTCACCCGATTTAGCCACTTGCGTCTTCTACCTGTTCCAAAAATGCAAAATCGTGCTTCAGGGGCGGCACTGGGAGAATGTGGAAGCCATCAAGGCACGGAAAATGAAGAGCCTCACAATTGAAGACTTTCCGCGATCGTATCAACAGTGGAAACGGCGTTGGCTGAAAGTGCAGGGGGAGTACTTTGAAGGAGACCATATTGAAATACCTGAACAATTGTAGAATAAAATTATTCCACTTTTATACGTATTTTCCGGAAAAACCTCGGATATCAAGAAATACTTCATATATCACTTAGTTTAGCTACAAAAACATATTTTTCATTTGACCCCGTACACAAAATTTGCGACCGAAACGTAATGCGACCAATCAAAACGAAGCGTGCTTGAAACAAGAATCAAACCTAATACAATAGATTGATATGACGGCAATTACTGGGCATTTAATTCAAACTGGCCCATTAAGGTTAGCTACAAAAAGCTGTTTTCTCTTTATAGGCATGTATCAGGTGAGTACAACTAGATCATTCATTTTTTTGTCCTTGCTGTACAAAATTCTTTGAAGATATAAATAAAATTACTGAATAAATATGCAATTTACTTGAATACCGTGCAAAACAAACTACTTTTATGGTCAACACGTAATTTTTCTGGCTTAACAACCAACGCTCTCTATTGGACGATGCAATACCTACGCGATCTCTAATTGCACCTTGAAACCGTCAAAATTACACAGTTGTTTCACCGTTCAGTATAGGACGCAACAGCAGTACCTACCATTGACTGTTGAGAAAAGGAAATTAGCTCTAAACACGTGTTGACCATAAAAGTAGTTAGAAAGAAACATCCAAGATTTACCCGATGTTTGTTAATTAATTCTATTTATGTTTTCAAAGAATTTATTCAGCGTAAGCAGAATTTTGTACAGCAAGGACAAAAATCAATGATCTCGTTTGACTGACATGATACAAACGTATAAAGAAAAAGAATAGGTTTTTGTTGTTTACCGCAATGAGCATGTTGATTAATTGTTAAAAATATATGCTTTTTTAAACTATCTCAGGTTAAGTGGTGACAGTTATTTCCAATAAACCGTTCAGTAATTGCTGTCATATCAATCTGTTGTATTAGGTTTGGTCCAAATCCTTCCTTTTGATTGGCCGAACTTGCGATTATATTGTAAAAACTTTCTTAATGGTCGAATTTGTGCCCTAGTCGCAAATTTTGTGTACTGGATGACATGGAAAAATAGTTTTTTGGTTGCTAGATCAGGTGATACATGAAGTATTTCTTGATATAATATGAGAATTAGGGGCCCATCTTACGCAAATCGTATATTTTTCCTCTAGTTTGAGATATAAAGGCTGCCATTTTGGCAGTCATAATGATTGCTACATGACAGATCGATAGTAGACAGGCAGGAGTTTTTGAAAATGTATCATTACTCAATAGAACAGCGCATCCTGATTGTTAAAAATTATTACCAAAGTGGTCGGAATAATGTTCCTACCTCATCCACTGTTATAAGAATAATACACAAAATTTGATAGTACTGGTTCAGTTAATGATGTGAAACATGGGAGATGAGCTCGCAGCGGTCGTTCAGAAGAAAATGTCAGAGCAGTTCGCGAGAGTGTAGCCGAGAGTCCAGGGACGTCGATTCGTCATCGCGCTCAAGAACTGGACATTAAAACGGCCACTCTATAGCGTATTCTAACGAAAGATATACTCCTGCATGCCTACAAAGTCCAACTGTTGCAACAGCTTATGCCAACAGAACATGCGCAGCGAAGAGAGTTCAGCAATTGGATGCTTGGCCAGCAGGATGTGAATGGTGCTTTTGTAGACATCATTTTTAGCGATGAGGCCTATTTTCAACTCGATGGTTTCGTCAAGCAAAACTGCCGCATTTGGGGCACGGAGAATCCAAGAGTAATGCATGCGAGAGCTATGCATCCAAAACTTGGCAATGTTTGGTGTGCACTATGGTCTGGAGGAATTAATGGACCGTTTTTCTTTGAGGACGAGGCAGGTAATTCATTACTCAGTTTTTGTACCACAATTAGAAGCCATGGCTCTTAATGGCATATGGTTTCAGCAGCATGTTGCCATATACCATACTGTTCGTGAAACATTGACAGTTTTGCACGAGTTTGCTCCTGGTCTAGTCATCTCCCGGTTTGGTGACCAGAATTGGCCGCCACGCTCTTGCGGTTTAACACCTTTGGACTTTTGGCTTTGGGGTTATCTGAAGCCACAAGTTCATGCCAAAAAGCCTGCAGCCACCGAAGCATTGAAAGCTGAAATCAGGCGCTGTATCAACGACATAGCACTACATGTGTTTAACAATGTTATCACAAATTTTATAAAAAAGGTGCGAATGTGCCAGCGGAGCCGTGGCAACCATTTATCTGATGTGTTGTTTCATACATAATTGTGTATAAAAGTGTATTCACAATAATCCAATAAATGTTTCAGTTGTTTGTTACGAAATACCATGTTTTATAGAACCTTGGAATATTGCGTCCTTATTGAAACACCCTTTATTTTACAAGAAGTCGACCATATTCCTTAGATCCATGAGTGATATCTCATTGAATTTTAATCAAACAATTACGCTTCGTTGAAGAACAATCAAGTAGGGGTTCAACATTTTTTTATATATAAATATGCACTATTTTCGACATTCTCCATATTTTCAAAACTATCATAATTTGGAAAATCTTTGATATCTGTTACAACCTACTCCGAAATACAAATGTTATATTTTCCCATAAACGTTCCTCAAGAGCATTCCTCAAATAGTACTCAATACTCAAGGAATATCTATAAATGCGATTTAAAATATCTTACCAAAGATTAAAACGATAAATGAAATCAGTATTAACAATATCGGCATTTCACCAAGCCACTCCTTCATTGTAGCTGTAAGTCCAGAAGGCAACTGATCTTCTTGGAGAATTTCTCGTAATATCTGCTCAGCGAAAGCATCGGTCATGTTAAGTTTTTCCAAGGCTTCGGCCAGTTCATCGATGGAATCGTCATCGTATTTCCCTGTTTTGATTCCGTTAATTAATTGCACCACATCACCCATTTTTGAAAATTCAACAAAAACTGCTAAGTTTCGTGATTGAGACAAACGCGACTGCAGCAAGGTGCTAACACATATTCTTATCGAGTTGACACGTTAGGCTGATCGTGTACGCAAAATTACACATGGTTTTCATTTGGATACACCATAGCCGTACCATTACATGTTTGGCAAAGGCGTATTGACAAAGCTTTGAAGCAAAGAGTTTTAAGTGTTTATTAGTAGAATTTGTGGGTAATAGGGGTCTTATACAGCGTGCTTTCCTAATTAAAGTCAATATTCATTTTAAGAAGACCTTCATTTAAACGTATATCCTAGACACTTACGCTTTTGAGATACAGGGTGGTAAAGTTTTGCAAAAATAAATCATTTATTATGAATATCTGTAATAACCACCTTAGATATTGTCACGAATTGCCTTTTCGTTTCGCACTCGGAATGATATACCTCTAGCTTCTTCACGTTTTATTCATTCTCATAAACTCCCAACAATTACTTAGCTATAATCTACCATTACACACTACTTTATATGCCCCACAATTATTTATTCTAGTAACATGTGAATTTCTAGAAAAATCAAGAGCTCTACAAACTTCGCGAAACACGACAAACGATCTAGAAATAAACGAAACTGACAGCTATCTAACAACTGACAACATACCTAACCCACAATTTTTTAGCACATGACAGAACTCAAACTGTGGTCTAATGCTCTAAAGTGGGTGTTACAATATTTTAATATACATTTTTTAATTTCCACCAGTGGCACTCGTACGGAATTTCAACTGCGTATTTTTGCAGATATTGATGGTACGCCACTGATTTAGCTTAAAATAAAAATTATTCTTGAAATCCCTGATCATTTTTAAGTCAACTTGATCGCTTGATTTTTTCAAACCGGTGAACGGTTTGCCCTTAAAAAATAACAACCTGCATGATCCTATCAATATCGCTAACATAGGTTTTTTTGGCATAATTTTGAGTGAGCATATAGTTGCATATACTAGGCTTTTCTAAGTAGATTTCTAATCATTTCGGAGAGGAGAAGCATGGCTGTGACAAATTTTTGTAGAATCGCCATGGTAGCTACATTCAATCTCGGATAATTCTTTGGACGCTGGAATATCGTATTACAAGAGAGTTGGCGGCCCAAAGCAGGCATTTAAGTGGGATAAGTGGGATTTAAAAAAAAAGTAGTATGAAAACAGTGAGAAATAGTGATTTTATACACAACAAGAGTTAATTTTCCGAGAAATTCAATATCATATAAATAAGTACCTATTTGGGGGAACGTGATAATAACTCTTATAAGGTCTTGAACACTGAATTATTGGCGTAAACAAAAAGAAGTATTTATGCGTATGGAAAAAGAAAATAAAAATGACGTTAAGTAGGTTGAGTCTGCACTTTTCACGCATCGGTCGTAATCCCTTATTAACTGATAAGGGTATCAGTTAATAAGGGATTATGTTCAGCACAAACCAAACCCTCTGAGAAAAGTCATTCAAACAGGTTCATGCAATTAGTTCTTAGATATTCTTTCCCTGTCCTACCGGTAGTGCATCTGGGAATGTCGCTTCTCCGCGATACTTAACCCCATCAGACGTGGCAGCGCGGTCAGAGCATAGCAAAACACTGCGGTGTGCTATGCCTGCCTCAGTGAAGTTGGCCCAACGCCCCAAAACATGATATTTGTGAATTTATTTGAGGGCTTATTAAAATTTTATTTCAAATATAATATTTTTAAAGCGTTTTTATATAGAAATTGTCTTCTTTGCAAAATGATTTGTGTATAGCAAAATACATGATGGAGACTACATAATTTGAATGTGTATTTATTCGCTTCGATAAAATAAAGGTAGGCTTTGTAAAACAAATGATAACATTTTACGTTGCTAAGAAGCTGATTTTTGACGTTTAAATCAACTTTCAATGCATCGGTGTTGTTAACAATTAAAAAAGACTAGTGGCAAAGCTGTTTCTGATGAAATAAGAAAAGTGATCATTCACTTGCATTTAAAAAGCAAAAATGCTTCCCAAATCGCTGACAGTGTTAATCAATTGAGGTATACAGTTCGAAATACTATTAAATTGTACAAGACAAATCGGCGTGTTAATTACAGCGAATTGAAAATATTATGGAAGCAGGCAACCACAAATAAGTTTTCAAGAGCAACTTGTCACTGAGCTACCCAAAAACTGGGATATAAAACTTACAAGATATGCTTAAATAAGTTTTTTATTATCGTTTTTAATTCAGTATTTCTAGGCAAAGGATTCAGAAGAAAAACAGACAAGCGTGGGCCAAAGAACACAAATTATGGTCTCCGAACCAATGGAACTCCATTATTTGGAGTGTGAAGCCATATTTGTAGTATGCGTTGGTGATAGTAGGACCCGTGTCATAAGAACAAAAGAAGTGTTTCAGAATGACTGTGTGAATTTTAAGTTTCCGGCTTCTACCATTTTTTGAGGATCCATGTCAGCAAGTGGAGTGGAAAACTTACACTTTGTGGAAGGTATTATAAATGCTGATAAGTACATTGTGCTTCAAAATGACTCAATACCCCAACTTGAACAAATGCGTTTAAACAGAACAATGTATCTTCCAACAAGATGGTGCCTCTTGCCAAACGGTTAAAAAAGTAAAAGATTGGATGTTAGAAAAAGCTCCGCATTCCTGAATTGCGATCCCGCCTCCAAGAAATTTGGAACAACAGATGACTGCCAAACATTAGTTGACACTATGTCAAGACGTGTCAAAATAGTAATCAGTCGAAAAGGCGATGTAACGCAGTGGTGATTTGCTGCTATTTGGTTTCGTTGATTTTTATTAATCGGCAGTTTTTTTTATCTGTAAGATATTTTTTCTTTGATACAAAAAATGTATTTTAGGCTAATAATAAATAAAAATATCGTATGTTATCAGAAATACATTTTAGTTTTTAATACGTTTCAGACAAATTTCATAAAAAACGTAGTTTTGATAGTTGGGCGAATTTCACTGAGACTGGGCTCGTATATCATACGAGTGAGTATGGAAATTATAAATCGCCAATTTACAGCCGCCGGTAATGACGTCACTTTGCTTAATGTGATTGTTATCAAGCCATTTCATTTGAGGACCATATAGGGGTTAGCATGGAATTATTTATAAATCGCCATTTTGTAGCATATGCCATATTGGATTCAAATTGGCGGCAGATAATTTATTGTGTATTGTCAGGCGAACCAATCATGCATACAAAATTGCAGTTTTTTTGGTTAATGTTAATGGGTCAAAATTCAGGTTCAAGTTTTATCTCACATATACATACTAACATACTAAGTAACAAGTTAAGTTCTTTATAAAGCATGCCACTCTTAATGCAATTTATATTTAAATTCCACCTCAATTGAAGTCAGGAAAAAATGAAAACAATTTAGGGTAAACTCGGTTTTTTTTAATAACCCAAATCTGCAACTTTGCCCCCATAAACGACTTTGTATTGTACCGAGATACAAATGGTGAGTCAGATTTGAAGTACTCGGTACATGAACAACTTTTAATTTTTATAAAAAATGTTCTCTTCATTTGATTTTGTGAGGCTTGAGAGAAGGGGGCAGATGCTCCGAAACTTTCATAAACTACAATATACAGGGTGACTTTGAAGTTGAGTCATTAATTTTCAGATAATGATTGTAGAAGGAAGATAAACCAGAATATTTGTGTAAAAATAAAAAAAAATTAAAAAAAAAATTACCTTGTTTTATAAAGTATCCTCCCGACAAGTATTTCAGTGCGGACCTGTATTTGATCGTGAGGTCCCCTGTGAGGTCTTAAGTCACCTGATTCACGAGCCCGTTGTGCTACATTAACAAGAGCACGAGGGGTTGGTTGCACTCGATTGGGAAACCGATCCGCATAAACATGTGCCATTTTTTATTTCGTTTGAGCCACGCAACAGACACTATTCACACGCGAACCGACTGACACTGACTGTATGTATAACTGAACTGAATAAAATAATTTATTGTAAAAACATCGTTCCAAATTCTTTCGCTTTTTTGTTTCCGATGCGATGAACCGGTAAGGCGGATTATATCCGTTGTTGCCAAACACGAGCACATGATATTATTAT